GAGAGAGAGAGAGATTGGGGGAAAGAGAAAGATATAAATAGAGAGATATAATATAATTTGAAGCGACAGAACTTAAAATGAAAATATATTACGTATACTGACCAGACCAAGCTCAATATTTCTAGAGTCTTTACAAGATACGTCTATTAAGCGACAAATGATTATTAAAGTAAGGAAAAGAGAATTATTAAGACCTTGTACATATTAGTCGATAATTTATTTATTTATGAATGAATGATGAGCGAATGCAAGAGAGTAAGATTATGGAGAAAGGAAGTAAGTATAGGAGATACGAATATATAAAAGTTAGTGCAAGAATGAATTTTATTGGACTACAAGGAGAGGAGCATTTTAGATGCTGATATGTACCTAATGTGCGGAAACGAAAGGAATATACAATAAAGCAAATGTTTTCAAATGTCGTAATTGTCATGTCCCACCCCCGAGCGATTATTTTGACAGCTATTTTATAGTCGGTTTATCGTATTATTTATTTAATACTAGAAAAACGGGATATTGGTTTAAAAAATAAAAACAGTTGAAAATGGCTGATTTCTTTTTTTAGTTTCATATGTTAAATTTATTTTTAACAACTTTTATGTTATATCCAATTTTCATTTCTATTTTTCGTTTGCGCTATTCGCGGACTGACGGTAAGTCATTGCATTGTAAAAAGAATCGCTGACTCGCGTAAAGTCACACGGTAGTGTTCTCGGTTGACTTGACACGCGAGACACTACTCCTGATGTCTCCTGATCGTAAAATCAAAACTTTGTCAAAAAAAACTCGTGGAACGCTTTAGACTTTAAATCACGCGCCATCGGCAATATTCACTGACCAAACGGCGCGCGGGGATCAAACGTAGCGCCACGCAAAAGCCAAGACATAACCTGTAATCATAATAATAACAAAAGCGTCGTGACGGACTTTTGTTATCAAATACTGCGGAGTCATATCAGACGATATACGGTTTCGCGCGCAATCCGCGCCACTATTGTGATGCTGAAAATGTAAGTCTATTGCGACTTTGGCAGGATGGGTGACATACGGGCTGGTCTCGAGGACTTAAAGCTCGATGGTGCTCTGTTTGCCAATGTTAAATACTACGTCAGCGGCGAAGGTGATCCGAAGGTACGTTACAACTCACGATCGTTTCCCGCGTTTTTGCGCCGTCAATATCCCGACAAATCGGATGGCTGTGAGATTCGCTGCTGTCGCAAACAATTGAATGATGTTTTCCGGAGCTACGATGCCCCTTTTTTCACTGTAAAAACGAACGCATCTCGATGGTCGATAAAGGTTATAACTTGAACGCGTGCTTTAACACGTCGTTCTTTCATCGGATAGCCTCTCTTCTATAACAACCATTTGCTTTTTAGATACTTGAAATGACAGTGCTGAATTACTCCAGATTTATATGTTCGAACATTAGAAAATGTTATGCTTTATTAATTATAGACGGTACTTTTACAGATCTTGAATTTATTGCAAGAAGGTGGGGCTGAGAGGTCCAATTATTTTAGTGATTTTGTTACACACCTGATAGCAGGCAATGAAGCATTAGAAAATGATATTTCTGCAGCAAAGGATTTATATGAGATACCAGCAGTTACACAAAACTGGATTTTATATTCCGTTAAATGTAACAAACTTCTACCGTATCCTTTTACAAATGCACATTACTTTTAATATTAATATATATATATATATATATATATACACACACACACACACACACACATACATATTGATATAGTTATATTTTTCAAACTGCAATTTTTATTTAAATGTTTTTATATTTCAAGTAAACTATTTAAACTGAACAAATTTTTAACAAATTGCTTAGAATTAATGTGACAAATTGTTAACAATTGAAACAAAAAGTTTTGTTAAAAAAAACTTTGAAAATATATTGAACGTATTAAATTTATGACAAAATATATATATATTTTCTTAATAAGTTTACTTAAACAGACCGAAATATTTCTCACCAGAAGAGAATCAGTTATTCTCGAACATATGTATTTGCTTATCCCAGGTAAGTAGAGCAGACAGCAAGTCTCTATGGGCAATGATAACATTCCAAGGTGGCAAATGTCAGTTGCGCTTGGACAAATATTGTACTCATCTGATTACGGGTAAAGCGAGCGGTTCAAAATATGAAGCTGCTACAAAACATCACATACCGATTGTAACACCTGACTGGGTAATGGAATGTTGTAAGAAAGGTACTCTCATTAGCGAAGTGGAATATCATCCCAGACTGTTAGTGTCTCCAAACAGTTCGACAGCTATGATTACCGGATTCATGGACGAAGATACAGATAACAACATTGCACAAGAAGAACAAGAAAGGACTAAGGCCATGTTGGAGCAACTCAAGCAACGTATGCCATGGAATCAGCCGAGTCCACCAGTATCCTCGAATGTTTCACATAGTCTTGGTGTAACTAGTACAGCAACTGTTCCTTATTCGACGAACGGACAAAATACTGTGAATATGCAGCCACAACAGCATCTTCCACGATCAGTTCCCTCAACTTCCGCAATTGTTTCGTCTGTTTCTGATTCAGATATTATCAATCAAACAAATTGGATCCAAACATCTCAACAAAGCAATGTTTCTCAACAAATGAAAATTATACCATCACAAATGCAACAGCAAGAGCTATCCCCACAACAACAACAGCAGCAGCAGCAACAACAACAACAACAACAACAGCAGCAGCAGCAGCAACAAATAAATATGCAGCATCAGTTGATGCAACAGCAACAATTAACGCCACAACAACAATTAACGCAACAACTCACGCAGCATCAACAACAGTTACAGCAATCACCGTACAACCAACAACTTCTGAATCAGCAGCAGTCACCTCAGATACCACAACAACAGCAAATAATAGGACAACAACAGTCAATAATACCTCAACAACAACAGCAACAACAACAACAAATAAATTCACAATTGCCTCAACATCAGTTAAATGTGCAACAACAGCAACTGTTGACACCACAACAAAAACAATTGAACCAACATCAAATTATTCAGCAACAACAATTACAAGCGCAGCCACCACATTTAACACAGCAACAGCAGCAAGTACAATTGACAGCTCAACAGCAGCAGCAACAACAGCAGATAATTATACAACAGCCACCACTATCTTCTCAACAACAACAGATAGCGGGTCAGCATCAATTAACTCAACAACAAACTCCACCACAGCAACTTACTCCTGAACAAAGACAACTTATCTTGTTGCAACAGCAGCAACAACAGCAAAAGATACAACAGATCTCGCAACAACTGCAGCAATCTGCCCCACAAAGCCAACAATTTGTTATAAGGGACGGTCAGTTGCAACAGCAGCAGCAACCACAACAACCACAGAACCAGCAATTAATCGGACCAAATCAACAAGGATTTATCGTTCAACGAGATTCGCAGTGGCAGCAACAGCAATATCATTTACAATTGCAAAGGCAGCAGCAGCAGCAACAACAACAACAACAACAGATTGGACCTCAGAGATCTGGAGGGCAATGGAATCAACAACCACCTCAACCTCCACGACAGTTGATTCATTTGGACGCACAGACGCATCAACAATTGCAGCAGATGGATCCACAACAGAGGGCTCAGTTTATCCAAAAGATTCAAAAGCAGCGAAACCTGATATTGCAACGACAGATGCAGAGTCGTCAAGCACAACAAGGTTCACATATTGCTGTTATAAGGAGTCCTGGTAAACCAGTGCAGCCAGGTAATTTACAATGGGTTCAACAAGCTCGACCACAAATGATGGGACCGCAACTCGCACAAACTCCAGGGCAAAAGCCCGTACATCCTGGAGTGCAGCCACCAGCATTAACTCCGATAAACTCTTCCAATCAAGTTATCGTGCCGCCTGGCCAGGCCGTTCAAGGCCCGCAAGCGTCGCAAACAGGTCAAACATTCCAACAGGGACAATTGACACCTCAACAGATAGCGCAATTGCATATGCAGAAACAACAACAACAGATGGCTAGATTGCAGCAGTTGCAACATTTACAACAACAAGGGGTGCAGCAAGAACCGTTAACTTCCTTGCCGAATAATGCACAAATTCCACCGGATCAACAACTCGTTGTAAATGCTAAAACAAAAACTGCACTTGCTAACATGTTAACTAATAGATTGCAAGGTGGTGCTGCTGAAGGTAGTGCAGCTGGCCAATTGAGATTGATGACTGCGCAGCATCGACCTCCACCCCCGCCTTCGCAGGACCCGCAACTTTTAGCCGCTTATCAGAGGAGAACTTTGGGGAATATAACGAATGGTGCGCCTTCAGGAGCACCTATAAAAATGCAATATGCTCCAGTTATGCCACAACCTAAGGCTCAGTTTTACGGTCATAATCCAAATTTAACACGTATGTTTTTATTTTTTGTTGTTGCATTATAATGTTTAACAAAAATATGGGCGTTTTCCAGCAAGAGAGTGTAACAGTGAATCATTTCATCCTTGTTGTTTGTAATATTAAAAGTCTCTTGTTATAAAATGTGTTATAAAATGCCCTACGTAATGTCAGAAAGACATTTAATTTTTTAATGATTTAAAAAATTATTTTATTCTTACGTGTGTATATATTTAGTAATGTTACATCATCATCATAATGACAGAAAGAATATTTATATTTTCAGTGCCGCCAGAATTGTTTTTGTTAGGATGCTTCTTTGTTATTGTCGAATACGATGTGCAGCGTCCTAATGAAGTCTCGATTTGGAAACAAGTTATTGATAAATACGGTGGAGAGGTAGAATCACAGTATTGTACCCGTGTAACGCACGTGCTAGCTATTACGCAGAAACATCCAATCGTGGTGCAAGCATTGCGCGAAGGAAAACGTTGTGTCAGTGCGCATTGGCTTTCTGATGTTGTCAGTAAGCAGCAATTATTACCACCTTGGCATGCCCTCCACTTTCCAACGCCATTTAGCTTAACTGAGCTTCCGTGTGGCAAGCAAGTCATATCATTTTCTGGATTTGAGGGAGAGGAACGAGCAAAAGTCAAATGTATGTTAGAGGCTTTAGGTGCAAAGTTCACGAATTACTTTTCCAGACACAATACTCTTCTTATTTGCAGAAGGTACTGACGATCATCATGTTTTTTCAACTGTTTTAGCTACATTATTTTAAACTAATTTTCAGTTGTTTGTTATATTGTGTGATATATTTTATTTTACTAATCGATACATTAATAATTTTTTTATTTTAAGTAATGTTATATAATAATTATACATTATTGATGAATTTTAGGCCAGATGGACCGAAATATAAAAAAGCACGCGAGTGGCAAACTAATGTCGTAAATGCACAGTGGTTGACAGATTTACTTTGTGGACAAATGAATGCTTTGCATCAACTTGAAGGTCCAAAGTATCAACAGTTTAGTCTGAGTAATCCTTTGAGATTAGATTATTCACTAGTGCCTCATCTCATGGGTATAAGAGTTGTTTATTTAACAGATTATTATAAAACAGCTAATATATAATATAATTTGAAATTGACTTCTATTATGTAAACTTTTTTCTTTTTTTGTAGCTGCTTGGAAAATGCCAATAAATATTTCGCAAGAATCGTATGCCAAAGTAAAACAAGTTGGTCAGGGTCCAAATTCGGTCAGGAAAGCTAAAAAGCCACGTTTGGATGGTCCATTATTAAATAAAGATCCTCATCTTTTGGGTCTGGATGAACCAATTGTTATTAGCAATCCTGATCCTCCGCCACCCGATAAACAACCAAGAATATTATTTTCTGGTATTAACCCTAAAAATCATGCCAAGGTACTAAATAGATAACATTTATTTGATTTTTCGAAATATCCGAACTTGTAAAGGAGCACTCGATCTTTTTACGATTAATTTTGATTTTTATATCCTAATTTCACTTAATTTTACATATAATATCATCATTGACATAAGCATTCACATATCATATAATATCATAATTAACATAAATATAAACATATCTATCATCTTTGTCATATCTATCCTCTTTGTCCTTATTTCTTTTCGCACTTTTTTAGTTTTTGCCTCCAGTTTTTGTATCCTCGTCCCATAACTTTTTTTATCCATGTTTTCCCAAAATTTGCCGCTATACACGCAAGCGAAGAGGTATTAACTTTATATATATTTGTTTATAAAAATCTATTATAATATTTTATTACTCTATTTCGTTATTGTATAATCTCTTGAACATAATTTATTTGGTTTTTAGAGAATTCGAGAATTAGGAGGTGCTTTAGCCGCTAGTTGGCGAGATGCTACTCATCTCATAATGTCAGCACCATTACGAACGGTAAAATTGTTGTGTTGTTTATCGCGATGTAAATATATCGTCAAGCTAGAATGGCTGCTCGATTGTTCTGCAAAAAATACCTTCTTGGACGAAAGCTCTTATATGCTTGGCGATTCAGAATTTGAGAAAAATTTTAATTGCAATATTGAGAAAACTTTAGCTAGTCCTAATCGAGGGACAGTACTTAAGGTAATAAATTAAATTTTTTTTAGTATAGAGATTGATTCTCTTATTTGTATTTTATAATAAATAGCAGCAATATTTGAAACAAATATATTTTTTAATATTTTTCCATTCGAATAGGGTAAGATATTTTATGTTACACCGAGTGTAATACCATCTCCTTCGGCAATCGCGGAGATAATAGAAAGCGCAGGAGGTACAATGGAGAAAACCCGTAGATCGGTCGCTCAAATACAAGAGATGAATGCTGGAAAAATAAATTATATTATTGTGACCCATGACAAAGATCTTCATCTCCTTTCTGATGTTTTACGTGCAAATATTCGTAAGTAATTTCGAGTCAGTTTTTATATTTTCTTATTTCATTGTTCTTTTTGCGTGAAAAAAGTTCATTATGAATAAAGATTGAAAGTGAAGTAGATATTATTAAGCACAATAGAAATTGCATTTTCAATTATTACACATGTTTTTATTTAAAATTTTACAGATGTGTACAATTCGGAAATCGTGTTAGGTGCAGTTGCACGACAATACTTCCAACTTGATGCGAGTTAAATCTAAAATATACAAGTTACACTTTATTGTATTTTTATCCCTATTATGGGCCTATCAATTCTTTAGTAGTTTATTTTCGAAACGGAAATTTTTGCTTACCTTCTGCAATGGGACAATAAAGAAAGATAATTTTATGATATAAAAGAAAATTATTTTTATAGATTTACATCCACTTCATCTCCTTTTAATAAGATTTTGTATTATTGAAAATATGCACACAATAAATTTAATATGTTTAACACTCATTATGCAAAGATTTATTAAATACTTATAAAATGTATTAAATGTGAATCATCAGAGATTTACTCAATTGAGATAGTTTATTATATTGTAAAAACATGCTCATTATCGAATTAAGAGTGATATTTTAAAGCACCGGCACCATAACCCTCGTAAGCAACGTTGTCGACAAACTGCTTGGCCAAATGATATAAATTATCGTCAATGCCGCTGGTATGTTTTATCATTTGCAGCAACTGAGCTATCAATCTACCCCTAGTAGGATAAGCATTTAAGTCAATCTGTCCTATCTTTGTCTCCAAGTCGTCTTGTGATAGGAAACTCCTCAAGTTTCTATATTCATCTGTATAGATATCTAAATTTGGCAAAGCTTGAAGAAGATCCTTGATATCGACGTTTCTGATCGTCTTCTTTTCAGTTTTGATTCCTTGAACAAAGCTAGCTAAATATGTCTCCAATTGATTGACGCAATCAGCCTGTCCTTGATTGATTCTATTATCGAACGTGGTTATCAGCTCAGCGATGCTCATCGATAGGACACCATGTGGAAGCAGACCCGAAGCGAACAGAGCCTTTAGCGTTTTCAATGTGGCATCTATTGGCCCATTGATATCCTCTGAAGAAATGAAAGCAAGAGCTTTTCGCCAGACTTCTGATTTGATGCTTTTCTCCATAGCCACATCCATGAGAAGTCTTCGAATTTTGACGGAGTTCTCTCTTTTGGCTATCGCAGAGAAAACTGGTGCGGCGACAATAGAGTTTCTTAGAAGCTGCCAACGTTTTTGGTTATTTTTCAAAATTAGCTCACCGTAGACACTATCTACGAAGTTCGATACCTCACCTTGGTGAGCCTGTTGACGTCTGAGTTGACTGATAAAAGCCAATAACAAATCTTTCCAAGATGCATATTCGAAAGGAGAAAATTGCTCTATGACGTTCTTTATGTTCGTATTATTCTGAATTATGGATAACAACGCGATACCGTCTTTTGATCTAGAAATCAGTTTGTCTCGAGATATCAGCAGCGTATAATTTAGAGTATTGTTTTGAAAGAATCCGCTGAATTCGGCAGACTCCTGGCATTCCGAGGGCCTCAAGAATGGCAGTAACACGTTAGCAGCTATCAGCGTCTCATTTTGCAGGGGCAAGCTCGAAATAGCATTAGCGATCAGCACGTATGGATTGGGAGACACGCTGAAGCCGGTCAATTCATGCTTACCGTAGGATTGCAAATATTCGACGAGAACTACGATTGCTTCTCTTACTTCCGCCGTCGCGCCCGATATCCACAGATTCGCCAACATGTATGCGATGAACGCAGGATGCGGAGAGATGGTCTTATCATGGATCAACTTTGCCGTATCACCAACAATTTTTGGCCAAGGTCTTTCAAGATCCTCGAGCGACATGCGATAAATCAAAGGCAAGGCCGCTTCCTTCAGTTCTTTCAGTGGGATCTTCTCCAACGGATCTGCTTTCAACGGTCCGAAAGTAGGTCTGTAAATTTCATCAGCATTCAGAACATCCTCCGACAGAGATCGCCGAATCAAGGATATCGCTGGCAAGAGATATTTAGGCAAACGATCCTCCATGGATCCCAGGATACTATCTATCTGCTTCGCAATAGGTGCGTACGTTATGGAAGGTAAGACGTCGAGGCACTCCAGCAGCGAACCGCCATTCCTCAAGTAATCCTCAACAATCTTTACGGAGTGATACATCTCATAATTTTGTATCTATGAAAACCAAAAGAGACAGAGAACGTGTAATCGTGTAAATTCGACGGAATGAAGATGACTTAAATTTACGTCGTTCCGTTTCTTGGAAAGCGGAATTTACTTACCGGCAGTTCATGAAGAATTTTTCCGAGATTGTGCTTCAGTCGTGTCGCCGTTTTTAATTTCAACATCAGTTTCCTTTCCAGAGACGAGAGGTATCTTCCGTCATCGTCGAGCGATTTGGACGATCTCGCGAGAAGAAATCCGAATACATGGATCAGTATAACGTAACGGAGCCACATCTCTCGGTATCGAGCTGATTCGATTGTGCTATCGACGCCGTCTAGTTCAAGGTATATATATAAAAAAATACCGGTTGCGAATTTATGTGTATGTGCGGCGATAAATTACTTTTATTAAAGCGTATATGTGTTGATAACGCAAATTGAATCTCTACGATCGGAAACGGTATAAAAATTCGCGATTGCCGATGTGGGCAGCATTAAACTATGATCCGGTCAAAGCGATCTCCGGGGACTGCGATTTCAAGTTTATTACTTGTAAAATTCTCTACATGTTCTAAAAAAGTAAAGAAACACAGGTATTCCTAGAAAAAGCAACTTTTTATTAATATGTATATTCCTAAATATTTTAAAAACTTATAGAATAGTATATACATTGTAGAAAGGATATGTGTGTATAGTTTATTTTTTAATTTAATTTTATAGTTTTCTAGTTTTTGAGAGAAAATTGTTTTATACATGTTAAAAGAAACTAACATTATAATGTATATTTAATACAACTGTAAAGTAAAGTCATGAGCAAAGTCACTGACACTGTCGTTTTTTGTACCTTTTATAATGCTTTACAATATAAAATGACTGTTGAAGCGTGGCACGTTAGATGATACAGTATATAGTGAAACATATTGAATAAGTACGTTGGTAAGCAGTATTTATAATACATGTCATGATACGATTTATCTTAATCGTATAATAAATCTACCACTGTGACGAACAGTTACATTTATATTCAATCTTGCATATTCTATTTTACCGTGATAAATGCAATGGCGATAAGAAGAATCGCCATAAAAAGTCAAAGGTAAAAAACTCGTAACTGTTTAATCCTCACACCATCGTATATTTTGCCTAAATGCCGCGCGGGTTATCGAATAAATGTTAAATGTTAAAGAACTTGTCGACTAGTAGGCACTTGGTCTTTACGCACGGGAAACGCGCGTTACGTCTGCGAAATCTGTTGTAGAATCCAGGATGAGTATCTGGCCACGTCGACGAAGACGATGTACTTGGTGAGGTCGCAGACCGGTTCGGAGCGATCGTAAACCGATCGGGAAACGATACCGCGTAATTGATAACGACGCGTGACGGGGTCAAAAAGCACCAGTCCACTTCCGCTGTCACCGTTGCAAGGACCGCTGTTGTCTTGTAAACCGGCGCAAAAGGTGCGATTCGAGATGAGATAGATGAAACGTGGATCGCTCAAGAGACAGTCCTCCTGCAATTCGTAATTCCCGCATTTCAGAATTCACTTTTCCGTCGACCTTCGAATACATCATATTATTAGTAATTGGTATGGAATGTTATTTTAAGAAACGATCGCGAAAATTCCACGGTGCGTCTTTACCGCACAATCGGCGGTCACGTTTATCGATTTAAAAGCAATCGCCGCATTCGTCACTCCGACTCAAGGCGTGCAATAACAAATCCGACAAATCCATCCGTTATGGATGCATATCACAATTGCAGTTAACTATGTAACTATGCTAAAATCGAAATAGAATATCAACGTCATTGTTCAACGCGGAGAAACTCTGTAAATTACTCAGAAAATCTTGTCTGCGATTGGAATTCAATTCGCGTGTCGAAAATCGAAAATCAGGGAGAAACGTTTCTCACCAGACTCACTATCGGCACCATCGCCATCCGTGGTTCCTCTGTGTAACGATGACCGAATTCGTCTCTACCCCACCCTACGACGTATGCCATCTTGTTGACGACGCTCTGAAGTCTGGTCGGACCGGACCACATACAGACAGGTTTGATAAAAGAGCTGTACTCGACGGGTGTCCTAAGGATTAGAATCGCCAGATCGGAGTCGCCGGTGTTCGAGTGCGCGTAATCGGGATGAATTATGTAGCTCGCGACCTGCCGATTCTCAGTTCCCTGTTCGCGCCACGCGTGCAAGTGGAATCTCCCTAAGGCCACTTCCAGCACATTGGGGGGTATAGTTTCGTTGGTGTAGCTGCTGAACTTTAGACAGTGTGCCGCTACAAAAGATAGATAAATAAGTAAAAAGGTGTCTTCTAATGACCCGCATTCTACCGAAAAAAGAAATGCGAATTTAGTTATAATAGTTATATGTGAATAGTTATTAAAAATATTTATCAAAGATAATCTCGATACATTTGCGTGTTAACGTAGCCAACAATCTAAAGAGATAGTTATATAATCTCCGTTCGGTACACGGAAAATACAAGTAATGTCAAAATTTTTCTTTCGATTTTTTTAACGTACCTGTTATAACATGCTTGTGTGTTAGAATAGAACCAGCACACTGAAATACGTGTTCAGTCCTCACGATGAAAAGTGCTACTAACCACGGCCACTGGCCTGGCAATGTCTTCTGCCCGTTGGAGATCAGAAGATTTACGTTGCCTCCGACGTGTTGGCTGATACCGCATTGATTATGACTTTGTGAAACTGGTTGTGGGGCTGATTGAGGGGTTGGAACTGGTTGTGGAATTGGTCGTGGAGTTGGTGGTCGGGTTGGTCGGATTGGTCGTCGAGTTGGTTGTGGAATTGGTCGTGGGGGTAGTTGTGGGGCTGGTTGTGGGATTGATTGTGGAGCCATGGTTGGATAAAGAAATACATTATTGATAATTCCTGGAGAGAGAGTGACTCTCGAATGTTCTCGAGGGGGTTTCTTCGGAGGCGTTGGCGCGGATGTTGGTCTCGAACCACTCGCGCTTAATGGTAATACGTTTGGTGGAAACAAAGTATGCTCCAGTTCAATGGTAGTTATAAAATTTCCCGGTGCTAAAATAAAGCATGTGTTTGAATTGTGCATTTTTTTTTAATTAGGAAAGAATATTAATCTTGTGCAAGGAAAAAAATCTTCAAAGAATGCAAAAAATAACTGTGAGATTCGTCTTTAGACAAATAGGAAACAACATAATGATAGGAAAATTTTATCCTTTTCAATTTTATTTTTTTTTTCATTTAGTGGATTTATTTAAGGATCTATAATTGGAGATTGAACATAACTAGATGCAAAATAAAAATAAACTTAAATAAAAATAAATCACACGATTTACTTGACTCAAAAGAATAAATAATTGTAATTTTTACTTCTGCTTCTTTGAATACATATGATATTGTTTTCCAAGTAAATATAGTAATACTCACGATCGGGTCCAGAACAATATTGTTCACCGTTAAACCAGATTCCAATCACCGACGAAATCGGATTGCGCAAGGGAAAATAAAGACGATACATCAAAGATCTACCTTGTTCAACATCTCGAACGGATTCTTCTTTCGATCGTAACAATTCCAGCCGACCGACATATCTCTAAAATACGGATGATTAAACTTATATAAGTTATAATTAAATTTATAACTAAATAATATGTGTGTGTATATCATCAAATAAAAAATGTCAAATAAAAGTAACAAATTAAATTAATTTTATCAAATTTTAAATTATTTTTTATTATCTGTCTTCTCTTGAGGTATTCAAATCATAAGAAAACTATATTTAATATTTCAATTGATTTTTTTTTCAGACATTTAAATATATGAAAAAATTACTTTATATAGTTAAAAATATATAAGAAATAATTTACTTAAAAAAATGTTTTATTAATATTTTGGTCATTTTCAAATTTTTTCCTTTTAAGATGAAAAAAGTTACTTTGTCCGAACATTAGTTGCAAGAGTAGTAGAATTCCAATTAGTTAAATTTCATCTTAAAAATGCTTTAGAAAAACTGTTTGCAACTGAGTTCGATGTATTAAAAATTATTAGAGATCACCAACATTAATAATAAACTTTTATGTGCAAACTTCTTTGATGTTATTAATGATAGTAAAAAGGAATATTTACCGTAGGCAATTGAGTGTTAATCTTGAAAATCACTCTTATATGGAGTTGAACATTTTTTGGTGGAGATGGGATTTCAATTTGTCCTAGTACTTCATTTGTTTCAGGATCCATTATGTATTGGAAGTATTGAGGACATGGAGATACTTGTCCTCGTACTAGCGTACAAAGTAACAGCAACGCAATCAAAATAGAAATCTTAGCCATTTCGTGGAACTCCGTTACAAATCTAACAAAATATGTAATTTATAAATATGTATTTAATTTTTAGAAATACTGAATATATATTTCTTTTATTTAGAAAAAAATTTTTTAATATTTCAAAAAGAATTTACATAATCAGTAACTTTGTTTCAAAAGGGTCACAATGAGAAATGATAAATCATGCTAACACAATTATATGAATGACATTTACATAATTAATATTCATGTATCTAATAGTTGTACATCAGATTTCGATACATTGATAAGACAGAAAACAGGATTTTACGCGATGCACATGAAATAATACATAGTGTGAAATGACTTATCATCATTACTATTTGTTACAAGCGAACCAGGAAAACTAATGAATATGTAGATAAGTTCAAGGATGTTGATGTTTTGAGTAAAACTATGAATATGATGATAAATTCAAACATCCAAACATAACGTATAGCGTGTCTATTAACACATAGCTAATTT